TAAATAAAACTATATTTAATCAATTAATGGAGAAATGAGAGGTATTTTTAGTTGAGAATGCAATAATATACTACTTTTAACCATTAATTGAAGAATGAGTCTCAATATTATGAGATTTGTGCTTCTCCATTTATGATTAAATGAAACCGCTGACTACCCTTCATTTTTTTTACTTTTAATTTGCTACACATGTGTTCTTCGTTATCCAATTGGACTAATTGGATCACATAAAAAATGAATTCATAACCTCAAAAATAATGAAAGAATTAGGGCTTATTTGTATTTTTATTCCTTCGTTATTGATTGTCATTTTTCTTCCTATTTTGTTTTTCCCTCCTCTGGTCTTTGCTTCTTTCAAGCATGCTTAACAATAAACATTACAATACATAAAATAAATTTATATTTTCACCAAATGATCTATTTAACAACCTTTCTCTGTTCAAACGTTGTAAAAATAAAACTTGTGTATATTTAACAACTTATTTTTGCTTGGTCTTTTTTACCAAACAAACACCAATTGGAATCGTTAGTAAAAAGGAAAATTAAAAACAAAAGTCAATCATTTTTTTAATTGCATTATTAAAACACAAAACTGAATAAAAAAATCATTTTTTATTCCCCCCCTCCCCCCCCCTCCCCCAATATGCAATTAAGCCAGGCAAATTTTATTAAAAAAAGTCAAAATATTTCACAAAAAATTCAACATAAAGACATAATAGTAGAAAATAGAAATGCAGAAGAAAGAAAAATAAAATTAATAAAAATAATAAAATAAAAAATAAAAGTTTGCACTAAAAAAACACGAGGCGAGAGCAACCGAGAAAGAAGAGAACGAAGAGAGAGAAGGAAAGGGAAACTAAATAGCAGCGATCAAGCTACACAAAGCCTAGCTCAATACAAATCCAGAAAAACTCACCCAAATGCATTCAAATTGAAGCGAAAACGAGGGAAAGGAAGATTTTTGGGAGGAACCCAGGAAATCGAAGCTGGGAACAATCCAACCCAACAACTCATTGCACTCGATTTCTCTGCAATTCGTCGACTTTGCTAAGGTCAGCGCTCAATCAATCTCTGAACCTTGTTTCAATGCTTTGAAGCTTAGTTTTCACTCTTCATTGCGCTTTCTTTGTATGCAATTCGATTTTCTATGTAAAGTTCCCGCTCTGCTCTCAACTTCTTCCCCGCGAACTCGACTGATCTCTTTTGTTCAGGTTCAAATTTCTAGTTTTGAAGTTTTTATGTTTTGAATTTTGGGTAAAAATTTTGGGTTTTGATTGGTGCAGTGATATTATTCCTGGTTCGTGTTGTTCCAAAGAAGCGTGGGGTTGATTATTTAAATTTGGTCATTTGAAGTTTAGGGTTTTGATTTGTTGTGCCTTTCTTTGAATTTGGGTTACTCTGAGGTTTCCTGAATAAGCAGTGGATTGAGTTTGATCTCTAGGGTTTTGGTTTTCTGAAGATGAGATTTGGGTATGCATTGTATGGTTTCTGGATGGGCCAATTTAGGGATATTTGGAAACAGAAATAGCTGTATTCTGTTTGGAAGATTGGAACTTTGTGGTGTTTATGGGATTTGGTTTTTACTGTTTGAATCTCAATTATGCAAAGGTTGAGAGTTTGATTTAAATTGGATGGTATGTGGATTAGTAGATTTGGAGTTTTTTGGTGGTGCTGATCACAGCAGTTTGGAGCATTCTTGGGAGTTGGGATTTCAGGGGTGCTATGATTCTGTGAATGGTGTAGGGATCTGTTTATTGAGAAATGCAATCTCAGCAGGGCTCCAGAATTGATTTAGGTGACTTGAAAGCTCACATAGTGAAGAAGATTGGAGCTGATACATCCAAGAAGTACTTCTATTATTTGAGCAGGTTTTTAAGTCAGAAGCTTAGTAAGAGTGATTTTGATAGGTTATGTTATCGCATCCTTGGAAGGGAAAATCTCCCACTGCATAATCGGTTGATACACTCAATCTTGAAGAATGCTTTTCTAGCTAAAACCCCACCACCAATTCATGATGCGGGTCCCGCAAAATCTTTGCCACAAACTGCAAAAAGTTCTCCAGGTAGAGAAGATGGACATGAACAAGCTGGCTCTCTCATCCCCAGTCAGAATCAAAATCTACCTGTTTGGTCAAATGGTGTTTTGCCTGTGTCCCCACGGAAGCTTAGGTCTGGTGTGCGGAAGCTTAAGGATAGGCCTAGTCCACTCGGTCCAAATGGGAAGGTTGAAAGTGTCTCTCACCAAGCAATGGGTGCAGAAGACAATGGTAATAAAATGATTGGGGAAAATGGGGCTATGACACCATATGATTATCAGAGACCAATGCAGCATCTTCTATCTGTTGTTGAGCAGCCTGAAATTGAAAGGGAGGGGTCGGTACAACAAACAGAAAAGCAGAGATTACCTAGCAAAGATCATCCTGAAGGAACTGACATTCAAGTGGGGGTGGAGATGGAGCAAATTAACCAGTTTAATCTTTCTAGAAGTCCTTTGCTTGCACCACTTGGGATTCCTTTATGTTCAGCAAGTGTAGGTGGGTCCCGCAAGGCCATGCCTGTTGCAAGCAGTGGTGATTTTGTCAACTTTTATGACAGTGGTGGATTGTTTGATACAGAGACTTTGAGGAAACGTATGGAGCAGATAGCAGCAGTACAGGCTCTTGGAGGGGTTTCAATGGAATGTGCTAATATTTTGAATAATATGTTGGATGTATACTTGAAGAGATTGGTCAGGTCATGTGTTGAGTTGGTGGGATCAAGGTCTAATCATGAGCCAAGAAAGTACCCTGCACACAAGCAGCAGCTTCAAGGGAAGGTTGTAAATGGTATGTGGCCAAATAATCACTTGCATATGCAGAGTAATGGTGGCCATGTGGAAGTTATGCAGGAACAAAGGCCACGGTGCCCAATCTCGATGCTTGATTTCAAAGTTGCCATGGAGCTAAATCCTCAGCAGCTTGGTGAAGATTGGCCATTGATGATGGAAAAAATTTGCATGCAGTCTTTTGAGGAATGAAAGGTTCTATAAAGATTTGATTCTCCCAAAGCTTTTGTTGGCTCAGTCTATTCTGGTTCAGAGTGCTGCAAAACTGTTGCTGGAATTTGTGATGCACCAATTCTTTTCTATTTCTAGAATGAACCAGATGGCTGCCACTCAGATAGAGCTCCGGGCCTTGCAAGATGGAAAAATGGGTCTGAGCATCAAGGTGTCTGTACTCTCCTGCTGCATAGCCCAGATGGATCGGAGAACTATACTACAGCAACCAAGCAAGGGCACTGTCAAATAAAATGCCCACAACTGGTTGTTCTGTTGTAAGATTAGTCCTGATATTGGCTGCCTTATGCCATCACTTCAGATCTCGAGCATTTCTTGCATTTGCAGCCAATGAGGAGGAAATCTAAAACAAGTTTTGCAAGGATACTGTTTTTGTAGCTTGGTAAAAGGTAAAATTACTCGTGTAAGAGCTGCAGCTTTGCTCTGTATGTAACTTTAGAAATCTAAGAATTGATTGGAATTCCAATAGCAATAACAAATTCACATCCACTAAATATACATTGGTGGTTTGTATTTTATATTTAAGCTGATGGTACTTGAAAATCTACTTGCTAAAGAATTATTCCATGTTAATAAGGCGTTCTGTTATTCATTAACCACAATTAATTGTTTTGCGAAAAATGTGGTGGGGAATATTCATATTGCTGAAATGACCGATATTGTTTAGTGGATGTGTCTGGTGATGCTTGTTTTTTACAATTTCATTTTACTACTTCTTAGGTGCCTTTCTGGCCAATCTTAAACTTCATACTCATTGGAACACAATGACAAACGGACATGTAGATGAAAGACATATGAAATTTGATGAATTAAGAAGAAATATCGAGAGATAGATAATATTTATATATGCAATTGTTTGATGATTAATTATATCATGAGTCTAGGTAATAAAACAATTATTCTTGATGCTATTTCCTTGTCATTGTACATTTGTAAAGCTACTTGTTCTGAGCTAAAAATGTCAAAAAGTTATGAATCTGGCAAATTTTTATTGATGTTTGATCTCTATCCACGGGAATGTTTTGGTCTTTGCTATCACTTCATGCCAGTTTTGTTGGGGACAGCCTGGAACAGGAACAAAAGGGTTGGTGACAGAAGAAAATAGCTCTGTGACATGAAGAAACAGAATTTTCCAGCGCAAATCTGAGAACATGGTCTACCATTAACCCCTCTACTCTTATACATTTAGCCAAGGGAGAATTTTCTTCAACTGTGATCTTCTGTAGTTATCAATGCATCATCCAGGAGCGATCCTTCTACTTGCTAATCTGTCAACTTTTATGCTGTTCTTGGTTGTTAAGCTTGTTTTCCAATGACATAATTTGGGATTGATTTGTTCTTCAATTGCCTATTTCCGTCCATGTTCACAGTGTCCCTTCACTTGAAACATTTGCATTGCTCAGCAGCTATTAATCTCTAAACTGCATTGCCTCTTGGCAGATTACCACTTAGTACTTACTCAAACGTAACTTTTCATTACGCTAAAGATTATGGTTCATGAATGTATCTAGGAAGTATTTATAATCCTTTCTGAAATTGTTGTTCCTTTCTGAATTATGAATTAGTGTCAGTGTTTTCCTTCCATTGAATACGAGTAGAGATGCTTGGCGCTCTGCATCTGTTACCTTGGGCTTATTTGAATGCATGTATTTGATATTCTGTACTAATGCTGGAGTAGTTCTCTTCACTCTGACTTCTAAGATCCACCATTTGAACAAAATGGAAAAAAAAATGCTTTCTGTCATGTTTAGAATTCTGTCATTCATCCTCTCTTTGTTCTCATTTTTCATAACATTTAATCACAACCATTAAATCTATAAAATATAATAATAACACTAAGTTTATTAAATTCATCATAAGTTTATCAAATTCATTATATAATTATTATCAATGAAAAAGTAAAAATTAGGACGTTCTGACGTAAGAACGTTCATCATAATCATCCATTAAGTGAACTTTTAACTAAAATCTATTTAACGATAATTGTGATGTAACGTCCTGACATCAAGACATCTTAATTTTTAAAATTTTATTATTATTAAACATTTTAATATTTTTTAATATCAAAATATCTTGATTTTTTCTTTTTCTAACTATATATATATATATTTTTTATCAGCATATCTACAGTTTTGTTCTATTCTAGCTATGGTGTTATGGACGACATATGATTAGTAGATTTGGATGATTTGTCGCATTCTGCGCTGTGGAAAAGTCTGGATATGATCAATAGCACGTGTATATATCCATATTCCCCCAAGTACGAACGAGATGATTCATGTTCTTGTTGGCTTCTGCAGCCACCATACAACATTATCTTTCGAGGACATAGTTGGAGATCTCTTCCGAGGGACAAGCATGTCTCATGCTTCCTTGCGCCCACACATATGCACATAAATGCAATGAATAAAGCCTTCATCAAATGTAGCTGGTGTAATGCATCAACCCTGTAGCTTCAGTTTTCAAAGTTACAAGCTCTTGAAAAACCCATAAGCAATTTTCAAAAAATTTCGTTGAATATATAACTTAAATTATCTTTCTAAAGGATAAAACTGAAAAAGAATACTTGCACCTTGATGCTCACCCAAAAAGTCTTGGAAGCATCTGTCAAATAAAAGAAAAGAGGGGGTCTTGGAAGTAAGTGGTGTTGCCAAAAGAGAGCAGCAACTTGTATGTCTTTGATTCAGAATTTTGTGTGCGACTAAGTATGCAGTACAGAGCCAATGGTGCCCTGATTATTAGTTATTGACATGAATGAGATTTGGTATATACATGGGAAAAGGTTGAACAGACGCCATCAACTTTGTACAGAATAGAAGTCAGTTTCCTACTGGCATCCTATTCAATGGTTCGACTGGATTCCAAGGTTGAGGAGGATGGCGGTGAACGTTCTGCTGGTGCTTTGCAGATGGGGCACCAATTCTTCAACCGTAACCATTGGTGTATGCATGTCACATGATACCTATGCTCACATTGCAAGCTTCCCAATTCATCCCCCAAAACATACTCATCCTGCAAAAAGTAAGACTAAAGAACTGAATCCATCAAGAAACAAACTGCAAGTCGAAGTGATTAAACATGCAACAATAGCTGGTCCAATGAAGGATGATATCATATGATCAAGTTATTAACACAGCATGATAGATTACAGCAAGACAGATGGCCTAACATATAGACAACATAAAGCTTACATGATAGCTTTCATAGAGTTTAGCTTACTGCCCCATCCAATTTGGATACAATTGTCTCACAAAGTAGTTTTCCATGCCCGAATACCAAGACAGAAAAATTTGAAATCCTACAGATAATTAACCAATTTCTGGAAGACCATGTATACGCTGTATATTTTGGTTTGCTATCATCAAATCACATCTGGTTCAGAACACAAAAAACCCCTTTCTGTGTTGGTGAATAATGTGGGGTAGATTGCAGTAGGACAAAAAGGTTCCCATTTTAGTACCAGAAAAAAAAAGGTTCCCATGTTAATATTGACAATCATTGGCAAAATTGAAAGTCACATTCATAGATGACATCAAATTACAGAAATAAAGAACATACTTTTACTGCCAAAATAGAAAACCATAAACAGAAGTACCTGACAAATACTGCATTTGGTGTCATCCATATGTCCTCCACGGTCAACAGTTGCATACTCTTCAGGAGTTAGCTCATAGAGGCGTCTTCTAAGGCATTTTGACAATGCTTCTTCCGATAGGGCAGTGCTCACAGTACCCATCCTATCTTCTAGAGCTAATAATTCCTACCAAAGTAGCAGAGAAATGTTACACAGGAACAGCTAGTTAAGAGCACAGATCAGAGTCATTCCTCAATTGAAAACAAAGCAAAAGGTAATTAGAAGAGAGAATATGTAAAATTATTGCAAGACAAGAACACACCTCATATGACATGTTATCTATATCCAATCTCATGTCACTGTGCTGATCATTGAAGTTTAAGCCATTAAGGAACAAGCTGGTCTCTAGAACAAGTAATTGCTACAAGACAAAAGAACCATGTCAACAGCAACACTTTGATGGAATGAGTTGCCTCAAAAAATACCAATAAGACAGTAACTACCTCATGGGTCAGCTCTTCATCTTGTTCAATCCTCTCAAGTGCTAACAATATCTGCAAAATATAACAACAGTACAACAGATTAAGCTTTGATAAACAACTATGAAACAAATCAGTACTGCTTCATTTTTTTCCTTATCCAAAGGAAACTCTGTAACATGGCATGATTTGATTATCATGTGATGACAGACATCCCCAACATCCAAGGCCAATTATATTCTTCTGATTTCCACGCTGATAAAAAAAATTAAATAAAAAAAATCTTCCAACTCCATAGAGAAAATGTGAAAAATATAAGGTTCTAAACTCATACCTCTGCAATCCCATCCATGTTGTAAAGCCGGAAGCCATCCCGATTCATAACAGATTGGGTAATGCCAACTTCTGAAGGACTAGACGGCATCAAATTGCGCAAATTCTCACTGCTACCATGACTCAATGCAATTTCTGCAGAGATAGGAGCACTCAAGTCAAGGGCTACTTCAGATTGAGGCACTTGTGGCATAGTTGTAGTGGATTCATGTGATGATAAACTGTTCATGTTTCCATTTCCTTGGTTGGGAAGTCTTGCCCTGCCATAACTATTGCTTGGTCTCCTAGTCCTAACAGAAGCAACAGCATTATCCCTCATCAGAGGCCAATGTCCTCCTCGCCTAGACTCAGAAACAGAAATGTTATGGCTAGAATTGCTGTTTCGTCCTTCCCATGATGACCCACTCACGTTCTTACCTCTGGAGGAGGAACTAGTCTCTCCATCTGAGTTCCTCTTTTTTATTACATCCTTCCTCTTACTGCTGCTTGAATCAGATGATGAACAACCCGATGGGGCAATGTCAGAAATTGAGTTACATCTTAGATTTTTCAAACCATACCTGCTTCCATTAGCAATTGGGGGCTGGCTGGTACTTCTAGATACTGAAGAAATGGATGAACTAGCTAAACTATCTTGATTGCCCAACCCAGATCTTCGTTGAAAATTTCTCTTAGACCTAGTGTTTGATGATATGCTTGTGCTCTTCACATCCATCACTGAACCTTCACTAGAACTGGAATCTTCAGATTCAGTGTGAAGCCCTCTTTGAATCTTTCCTGGTGGAGGTATAAGTTCTGAAACTTCTGGCTCATCTTGAACACTACTACTTTCTGAGGAATCTGTTTCCCGGTGAGATAATAGCTTTTTTGGAGGATTTATTGAAGATTTTCTATCACTTTTCACTGCAGAACATGCCCTAGAGGAACTTCCAACTGTTTCCTTCCCACTTGACAAAGGCCGGTAAGAAGGCCTGGAGGACTTGGCTTTGTCTTTGCCAATTTCAGTGCTTTTCATGGAGTTCAGCCTATTGCTGCATCCAATTCGGTTGCAAAATTGAGCATTTTGCTCTCTGTTATTAACTGTTTCTTTCAAAATGAGACCAGCTCCCCTTTTGGGAACAGCAAGCCTGTCTACAGGTCTTCTTCTAGAATATTTGTCCATCTATCTTGCAGGTACAGGTACTCTTTATCTCTGGAACAGAAAAATTATAATTGTATCATTTCACATGTGAATAAATCCTCCACTTCCTCATTACTTCAATTGGGAAAAAAACACTTGCAACACAACCTGAAAGCACACAGGGTACACATACCTAAACAGAACTCTCAGAATATATTTGACATGGAACAACGATCAGTGAGAAACTAAAGGTTATTCAAACCACCCGCTAGCTTAAAACAGTTTAAATGCTTAATGATACTAGACAAGACACAAGCATTCATACATAAAACTCAGCTAAAAACTCCATCCCCATCACCATATAAACATAAATTCAAATTCTGCAATTGTTTACTTTCAAGTTTATGGGTCTATAGATATAACAGTAATCAATAACTGGAATGAACCTGGTAATTGTTTAACTGATGCTAAGGTTATGAAAACTAGCTGTATTTCTAAAACTGTCGCTCACAACAGCTTCAAATAAAGTGAGTCATTTCTAACCAAATTTTGACCTCCGAAAGCTACTTTCTTAACATAATAGCAAAAAACAGTGACGGAGTAATTAAGGATAGAATTATAATCACTGCATCTAAAGCATACAATCAAAACTGAAAGGCAAACAGCTTGGTGAACAAATATGAACCATTATGAAAACAGTGCTTTGAATGGAAAAGAGGGACAAACACATACATACTCATGACAAGAATCAAGCGCCATGGAAAATCTTATTCCTTTTTAATCAGAACTCAATCCATTCAATCAGAAACATACTTCAATACAGAAACTGTTTTCTTTCAGGGAAGGAAAAAGACAAAATGGAAGAAATTCAACCTTGTAAGAGAATCGACAATCAGGGCAGGGGCAAAACACCTTTGTCATCAATCCATCAACCATTCTCATAAAGAGAATCCTTTGATGTTTTCTCAAAGCAAATAACCATAAACAATAAGAAAAGAGAAGAAGAACAACAACAACAAAAAAGGAGCCAAAGGGGTCAAAAGCCCACTGTTTCTTCATCCCAACAAAAGTGGGACTCATCTGTTTTTAAGGACAAAACTTTTGCTTGAATTATTCTCCACAAGATCCTTTGCTTTCTTTCTCTTCTTTTCTAAAATAAATTTTTTTTTTTTTTTAAAAAAAAAGAGGACTCTTTCTCCGTGATTTAAGGGATCAAAAAGCTGATCACCTCACAATAACAAATCATCCAAACGGGTCATTTCTTCAAATAAAATTCAGACCCATAAACCAATTTTCAGTCAGAAGAGAATTGGAACAGAAAAGGAACAATAAATTCATCAAAAAAGGGAAAAAAAAAAAAAAAAGGAAACTAAAAAGGAAAATTCACTTGGAACCTCTTATATACCCAGAAACAAAATGTTCAGGCCCAATTCATTCAAGGGAGAAAACAAGACAACCGGGGAAGGATAAACCAACCCTTCTCCTCCTGGGAGGAGAAATTAAAAAGAAAAAGTCAATAAACTCAAGAAACTGAACATGTTCAATCTTAATGATCAAAAATTCTATTCTTTGTTCTACCTCTCGCTTCCTCCTCCTCTACCTCTTTGATTCTTTGAACATACAGAAGGAAAGAGAAAAGGGTTCTTCTTTTGTTCTTCTGAGAGCTGCGAACAGGAGAGGCCGTGTTTTTCAGACGGAGAAGAGGGAGGGAGCTGAGAACGCAGTCTCACGCAGACACGTCTGTGAAAGATCCAATGCAGAAGCAACCCGTCGAATCCTTTTATTTTTGTATTAAGGGGTGGTGTTAATTTATTTAATGGGATTCATGTTTCAGGTAAATTGTCGTAAATGTATCGTTCGTGTGCTGTACAACTAAAAACTAATGTAGCATTAATCAAATAATATATAAAATTTTAATAATTTATTTTTTATTTTTAATAATTAAAATTTATTTATAATTTTATATATAAAACATTTTTTTAAAAAAAATTCTCTAAATTACTGCCTAGAGAATAAAGTAATAAACCCCATCGTGCGCGCACACGTGCACTGCGCTAACTCCATTCATTAACACTCGGACCAGAAGAACAGACACTAGAGTGTTCCAGAAGCCAGCAAAAGAGATTGTGAACTGCGAAGCCTCTTCCTGACTCAGTGACTCAGTCGACAGCAGAAGGATGGAGAGTGACCCGCCGACTCGGATAATGGTGGCGGTGAATCAGTCAACGATCAAAGGCTACCCGCACGCGTCGATTAGCAGCAGGGGAGCCTTCGACTGGACTCTTCGGAAGATCGTCCGATCAAACACCGCCGGTTTCAAACTTCTTTTCCTTCACGTTCAAGTCCCTGACGAAGACGGTTCTCGTTTCTCCCTTCCTCTGTTTATATTAACTGTGGTTTTTTGATTTTCGGCTAATTTCTTCTCGCGTTGGCTTGCCTGTTGGTTGGTTAGGGCTTGAGAAGTGTGGTTTCTTTTATCAATTTTGTTGATTTTTTTGTCTCTTGAACTAATCGACTAGAGTTGTTGTTGTCCTTGAGTTTGCATATTTTTTTAAAAAATTTTGTCTGAAACCAGATTTCATGAATTGATAGGATGGCGTAAATACATGGAGAAGTGGATTTTAGAATTTGGTGTGATTTTGGCAGCTTAAATTGGCTAGATAATGTACTTAGTTATGCAATTAAGGTGGTTGCCCATGTTTCTTGGGTTGGATTTCTGAATAATGCTGTTTTTTATATAGATGAACCAGCTTTCCTTTCAAGCATGTTACTTTGCATCACTATGTTTAATTTTCTTGGGTTTGTTTCTAGACTTGTCATGTTCAACCTCCTTTAAGTTTGATGAATCCAGATCAGAATCACAAACCAGTCGTCTGCTCTCTTTTGTATAGGTTGTTTATTATTTATGAATAAAGAAAACGATGCTGATTCATCTTAGTTGAAAATTTGACTCACTGTAACAGCAGTGTGTATCTGTTTTAAAATAGTGCTTTATGTAAATTGGTATCAAAATGTTTCAATAGTCTTAAGAGGAACTAATTTTAATGGATTATGGCACTTACTAATGGCATATTTAAGCTGTTGTTGTTTCTGGTACTCAACTTTCAATACTGCAGTGATTCAATTAATTTATTTATCTATTATTGAATTACACTGTTTTAAAGTAGTTCCAGTGATCAAAGTGTAAGGGTTTTTTCTGTTATTAACTAACCTTGTGTTTATTTTTCATATTCCTGAATCTGCCTTTGCTTCTGCAGTCGCTAGTGCTTATACTGTGTGAAGAAGAAACAAGAAAAGAAAACATAAACTGCTCTGTGATGCTTTCTTCTAACACATTGTTCCAGGTTTTGATGATATGGATAGTATTTATGCATCTCCTGAAGATTTCAAGAGCCTGAAGCACAAGGAGAGGGCAAGAGGGCTTCACCTGCTGGAGTATTTTGTCAATAGATGTCATGAGAAGGGGGTAATTTTTTTTGCCTCCTACTCATCCTTAAGAAGTTGTAGAAGTTTGTGTCTTCAGTATTGTTAATGCAAATCCTCATATTTCTTAACTTAGTAAGAGTGGTTGGTTGCAGGTTGCTTGCGAAGCATGGATCAGGAAAGGTGACCCAAAGGAAGTCATCTGTCTTGAAGTGAAGAGGGTCCAGCCTGACTTACTTGTTGTGGGAAGTAGAGGGCTTGGTCCTTTTCAGAGGTATGTCTAGGGCTGGTCCATGCAATCACACATAACCAGTCAAAATCATCAAATTATTTCTGTACAGGCATGTAATTGATGTTTCCTTGCATATTTGATTTTGCAGGGTTTTTGTTGGAACTGTAAGTGAATTTTGTGCCAAGCATGCTGAATGCCCTGTTATCACAATCAAACGCAGTGAAAATGAAGCTCCTCAGGACCCTGTAGATGACTAAATCTGTTTCAATGAGTCTGATTTGTTTATTCTCTTGATAGAGTCGAAACTCTTGTACTATTAACTAAGCTGAATGTTGGTGTTTTGGTGGGGATGATCACATCCATTGCATTATTTCAAGAAAATTGCCAAGCAGATGTATTTAAAAAGTTGGAAGACTGTTGTTCATATGTGCTGCAACTTTATGAAATAGTTCCCATTAATGAAATGGGAATTTCGTGGTTACTGCCTAATTGTATGAGTCTGGATATTTACTTGATGAATGACCTGGAATTTGGAGAGTGATGCAGAATATGGAGGATGTCCTGATTAAACCTTTTCTACTCATTTTGGGCCAAAGACTTCTCTCAATATATAGAGGCTAAAAGGCTGTGGAAGAAATATAAGGTGAAAGGAACTTGATTTCTATTCAAAATAAAAACATACTCCAAGAATTACTGTCGCCGTATGTTATACTGAGTAGCTGATAAAGACTGTGCTAACCAAACATGTGCTGTTATTTTTAACAACTAGACTAAAAGAAAAGCAACTTGTCCATATGACATATACCCCTACCCCACTCCCCCACGGGAGAGCGAGAAACAAAGAATGTTCCCGTGTAGACTCATGAACTCCAGAGGCCCTGTGTAGTTGCTATATCCACAATTAGGATGAAGATTCAGCCATGGTGCTTACTTTCTCCAAGAGGTCTTTTATCTCACCCTGTAATCTGGATTTAATTCCCGGGGACATCTTCTCATTTGATGTTTCCAGCATTGAAATCAGCATCTTCAGTTTATCTATGATGTAGTTAAGTTGGGATCCCTCATCAAGAGATGCTTGAGAAGTAGGTGCCTTCTCTGTTGTCTTCGCTGACTCCTTGGTTCCAGGACGTTTTGCTTTAGTTCCCTGCCGGCGTTCAGAAGGTCTAGATGCACTTGACAGGTGGCGAAGCTCGAAACTGGCAGTGGCAAATCTGAAGGGACTGAAGCTTCGTGAGCTGTTGAAAGCTGCTTCTGCATCAGAGCTTTTTGCAAAGACAACCCGAGCACAGAAATTAGCATAGAACATTCCTGTCAACTCTGTGTTCAGAGCCCCATACTTGCTGTATATTTTGATAAGATCATCCTTTGAAGGCAGAGAAGATCCTGGACCAAATGTCACAAAGAGGGCATTAGGTGAACCTTTTTCACTGGTAACCTCATCATTTGTCTTCGTATCAGGTCCCCTTTCCACAATTTTAGGCTTTTTTGGCATGGCTTCCTCTTTTCTTCCCTCATATGCTGCCCTCATCACTCGCTTACTTTTAGGCTCATGAGCTTTCACCTCTGCTTGTTCAGAGGAACGATGAGCAATCTGATTTTGGCCCTTTACTGAAAATGGTGGCTCAAAGTCTGCTGGTTTTCTCTTTCTATGAGATTGACTCTGCTTGTACATTTTGTTGTTGGAACCATTGTGGTAAACTGAACTTCTGAATAGCAACAAAAATCCCCAAGCAACTTCGAAAGAGTTGCTTTCTTTTGGATATTGTGGACTTAGAGCTGCAGAACGAACTTCAGTTAGCACTTCACTCGTAGGTGCGTTAACTTTCTCCACATCAATCAACCTATCCTGAATTTGTTTTAGTGTTTGAGTTGCATCATCAGATTTATCATGCTGTTGATCAGGTTCTTCAGAGAGCACCTTCTGAATTGCTTCACTGCTACCATTCACCATTGGAGGGGAACCAAGGTTGTCAGATGCTCCCGCCATCCGCTCCCCTAACTGCACCTCTTGCGAAACCTTCAAGGATTCCAGGTCAATATTTCTTCCCCTCATATCAGGACTTGTATAGGGAGGTGATAAGTACTTGCTCTTCTTCCTCTCTCTTGATAAAGGACCCTTCTCAACCAGCTCCTCAGTTTCAGGATCACCACGTCCCACACTCAAACCGCCATTTTCTTCACCCCCACCATCATCATTGTTCATGCTGGAACCTTTACTCTTCTTCTTCCTTCCCCTCAAAGAATGAGCCCCATCAGTTTCTTCCTTGGCATCAAAGCCATCAGTTTCAAGACTGCCTACTTTGCTCTTTTCAACATCAAAGGAACTTAAAAGTTTGTTTCCCTTCTTATTCCTTGGTACGGAAGTTGAATTACTTCCACCATCAGCATTGACTTCATCTCCACCTTTCCTCTTCCTCCTAGATAATGTTGCTGATTTACCTAAATTTGTTCCCTCTTTTACCATGCCCCCATTTTTGGCATGAGCATTGACATCCGCTTCCAAAATTTCAGCTATGCTTTTCTGTTTCCCCCGACAGACCCTATCATCTGAAACATCTGGGCAGTTCAGCAAAGATTCACCAATTTGGCCAAATTTAGGACCTGCTTGAGAAGAAAGCCAATCTGCTTGAACAGGCCCTTGGATTGAGACATTCATAGCATTGTTATAATCACTTATATCCACTACCAGAGTGCCAGCATTGTCTTCAAGGCCTGAAATAGCTTGGGGTTCTTTGTACATGGGCAACTGGTTAAACCCTTGTGCAAGATAAAATGCAGAAAGCCAGCCCTTCAACATCATGGAGTCCAGTGAACTGCAACCGATAGAGATAACCTGTGCAATATATTTTAGTTTACCAAGAATTTTGTTAGGTTCAAAAGGGCCAATTAAAAGCTTTCCAATCCCTCCATCAGGCACTAGAACACCTTTCTTTATCCCAGCATTAGCTGCAGGCGGCCTGTCAAACTCACTAGAATTCTGTTTCGGAACACAAGAGCAAGTCATCTTCATCTCCACAAGTCTGCCAATGTCATCAACTGCCTTCTGGACAGCATTTAAAAAATTCTTGGAGTTACTCACCTTCGACATCTCCACAAAATTTGCTTCAAAGGGCTTCAGCTGAGATGGGTGGCACCAAGCAAATGAACCATCACCAAAATATGCCACAAGGAGTCTGCCACTTTGTCTCACCTCTGCTGCATGCTCTGACGCATCAGATGGATCATATATCTGTCCTGGCCACCATGGATGATTCCTAATTTTACCCCACACAAAATCACCAACAGAAAATTCACATTCCCGATTACCATCATCATCATCTTCTTCCTCCATTCCATCAATAGCATCACCATTGTCCATCTTCTCACCAAAATCCATTTCTTCTTTCCCATTAATTTTCTCCGTCTCACCAGAAACGTCCACCACAATGGGAACACCATCACGGCTGTAAATATCACTAGATAAACCATTCTTAATTTCCATTTCTTTTTCCTTTTCAACAACACCCAACAGGGAGTCAAAAGGCTTGGAGATCTCACCCACACCATTAACATGGTCTTCTCTAAGCATTCCTTTCATTTTCAACAACGAAGACACCCCATTTAGCTCGGAATCCTCAAGGTCCCCTGTGTCTCCACCAACAAATTCCTGCCCATCTATAACAACCCTAAACCTATATTCCCTGCATTTTTCCACTGCACCAGACAAACCAGAGCTTCTGGAAGCTTCTTTTAGGGTTCTTCCATCTGGGGCTCCTTGAGTTGTAGGAGCACCGTCCTCCAACATGGCTTTCCCCTGCTTTTCACCTGCTACCATTTTCATCAAGAAAGCACCTTTCTCTGAAAAAACAAAGAACTAACCTCAAAACACTATACGTCCACAACCGAGCTTAACACAAGTCGAAAAAAAAAGAAAAAAAGAAATGTAAATCAACACATACCCCACTAGAAATGGGCATTAAAAACCCACTAAACAAAATATCCACTTCCACAAACATACAAAAAAATTCCTTCTATTTCTAATTTCTAATATAATATTACCATTAAACAAGAACTTCTTGATGATATGTATATAATAAAATTTCTAAGAAGAAAGACGATACCTGAAGAGGAAGACCAAGACTCAGAAGGGTTTTCGAGCTTGAGCTTTAAAGATTAATTTTTTATGCACAGAGTCAAGGCATGTTCTGATTTCTAAGAGAGAGAGGGAGAAAGGGGCAGGAAGAAATTGAGGTTTTTTTTTTTTTCTGCAAGGTGGAATTGTGGAAATGAATTTTACAGAGAAAAAGAAGACTAAAATCTCGAGTCAAGGAAATGAAAATCAAAATATCGTATCGTAAAGAGAAAAAGAAGTTACTAGAGGGAAGAAATGGAAAAGGCTGCGCGAGAATTAGAGAAGAGAAGAGAAGAGAAGAGAAGAGAAGTGACTTCAAAAATATCGTTTTCTTTACTAAACATCAACATCGACCTCTCAATTTGCTACCTTAAAAAAAAGCAAATGGTGCAAATCAACATCAACTCCTCAATTTGCAGGGTTGTCCCATTTCCGCCTCCTTTCTTTTTTTGGTCTCAAGTTAACCCTTGAACTTCAAAACTGGTGCAATTCGCCCCTTGTGTTAACTTTTGACGTCACCACTCCGTCTTCTTTAACGTTAAATGCTGACATGTATATTTCATATGAAATGCTATATGACATTAAAGAAGACGGACTGGTGACATCTCACATCAATAGTTAACAAAAAGTTAAATTGTATCAATTTAAGAATTTAAAAGTGAGTTTGAGATAAAAAAAGTAAAGGGTCGATTCGGCAAAATAGAACAACCCTACAAGTTAAGTTGAGGGGTCAATTTGCACTATTTTCCTTAAAAAGCAATTTTGATTTTTTTGACAATAAATATCTTACCGTAATTTTTATAATTATCGTATATTATCAAATAAATAAATATATAAAATATCATATTTTTAACAAAAAAATTAAAGAGTCAATAAAAAATTTTATTAAGCCATACCCAATAAAATTAGGTAAGTCATACTATAAGATTTCATTCTCTTAAAAAAAAACATTGTGAATAAATTATTTTTGAAAAAAAAAAAAAAAACACTACTCTCATGGTATTAGGGCATTTTCTGTTGTCTTAATCGAAGGCCGTGTGGCCCATGTTTACGTTTTGTAGTACCAGTTCTATTCGTGGTACTATAACGCGCGGATATCTAGGCGGTGAGTTGCACTCTCGATATTTGTATGTCCACGTGTATGACTCGACGTGGCTGATTCTAATGGCGGGCGTAATTGGTGCGTGCATATGACACAAGTGTGACACAGGTGCAATTGATTTTTGTTCGGAATTTTTTGAACGGAGCTGGTACGATAAAAAAAAAACTGCAGCTGTCGTCTGAGATGAGTGACACCTGTACTGACTCATGTGCTTTTTGGAAAAAGGTTGATTGTCGGATTAACAGTCATACGGTGTCGTTTCAACTTCCTTACGACGGGTTGCCACCTCTTCGTGGCGTTTTTGTTCGCCAATCCTCTTTACGTGAGATTTTTCACATATAAAGATATTATTTTTAAAAAAAATTTTAATTAAAGATATTTTTTATTAAATTAATCAAAATTATTATTTTTAACAAAATTTATAAATAAATATATTACATTTTCAATTTTATTATTCAAGGATTGATTAGATGTCAATGTTGACTTGGTAAATGGATTTCATCCATGGAGTTCACTTAATTGCTGATGTGTAAAAAATTGACAGGTAACTGCCCTAACTTAGAGCTGATATGAACAATAAAGATTCACATTAGAATTCTTCATGAATGATGTTGATATCAAAACATGTGTTGTTGATACCAAAACATGTGTTGTTGGCACCAAACTTGTGTCGGGAATTATTTATGACTTTTAGGAAAAATTAATTAAAATTAAGGTAAAATAAATTAATAAACAAATCTTAAAAGATTGAAGTAACGTACAAAATCCTTTTAAAATAGCTTCTTGATAGTTAAAATAATAATATTTTTTATATTGATTTAAATATTAAAAATTATAAAAAACTTCAAAGTTTTACTCTATTTTTTATGATCGATCACTATTGAAAAATGCGGCATATGTGACAAGATTATATTCAACAGTCATATTTCTGACGAAAATGTGTACATAACCGACATAAAGATTGACAAAGATGTAAAATTGACAATGATAATGGAAACTTCTGGTTTAATCAATAGTCTTTATATTCGGTAACTTTTTTATCAAATATATAAACATATTCGACAGAAAATTTTTTATGAATGTGTTTATTTGTCAGAAATTTCTTGTCAAATATGTATGGCAACATAATCGGCTCCGGTATGTTAAGCAACGACATTGTTTCCTTTGTATATTTGGCAGCTTTGGCTGTCAAATATACTGGTTCATATCACCCCCACCTCTCCTTTCTTCCCCATTTCTGTTCTCCCTCTGTGGTGATAGATCTGGTTTCTTTTCCGGCCAAGCTTGCTGTTGCTGTTCTTCCGTCGCAACCCTTGTTCTCCGCTCCGCGCCGATGCCGGTGAGTTCACCCCTCTCTTGGTCAATTGATTGATTTATTTTTGCATTTATTTTCCTTGGATTAATTTACAGTCGGCACATTGCATTGTTCTTTGTTGATCCTTGCCTTTTGGTCCGGCCTCCAGCATCTCTAAGCAACCACACCACGTGGAGGAGGTTTCTTGGAAGTTGTAGCACAGCTGGAATCGCCAAAATTGGAATCACCACGTGTCGAATATGCTGTTGGTTATAATAGGGTCCGCCAAAAAGTCCACCAAAATTGGAATCGCGTGGGCCTAAAATTTTTAAACATTATAACCGACAGAATTTCTGT